TAATGTCAGTGATCGAACGATTGGAAGGTAATTGTAACTTGTGTAAACTGCCGGGCAAAAGTAAATATACACCCATGTTTGATGGTGGTTGGTTAAAAATGTAACAAACAAGAAATGGTTATTCGATGGAGAGATATTTGCTTCGGGTATCTCAGGCGATATTACATGCATCATATCAATGTCTCACAATAGGTGACGTGTACATGACGTCTTAAGGAACACGGGGTCGCAATTTCACAATACACAGGAGTGGTTTTCTTGGTTGCTTGGTTGTGTATATATATCCCCGGAATATAATTTTAAACAGTTTGAGAATTGGTGTCGTTATTTTCTTTTACTGTTCTAATATATTTGATACTGTACAGCAGTAATGAATAGTTTCCTAGGCAGAAAGCATGATCTATGAAACGGTTTCTGGTATTTTCGTAACATTCTTTGTCTGTACGTGTCTGTAATCCGACTATCCCCTCTCCCTGGTAAGTTACATCATGTCAAGAGGTCTTTGTGTGTCAAGGACGTAAGAAAATCACCTGATGCCCAATGCTGAAGAACCGTGTTCACAGCTGACCGACTTGGTTATTTTCTATACTGACAGAAACTGGATATACTGACAAACAACTATTATAGATATTTAAATAACCCCTGATCAAATAGATGCCCCTCGTTAATCTCTGTGTGGAGTACCGTATATACCTGTGATAACGATACTGGTGGCGATACTGATGCTGATGGTGGTGGGGATGATAATGATGATGATGATAATGATGATGATGAACATGATGATGATGATGATGATGATATTCTGATATCCTTGCATTTTACAGTGGTGATAAACATTATCTGTGATTGCAAACTTTGACATTTGAAATATGTAAACACATATAGTTGATCATATGATCAAGGCCGCTGGCGTAGCCTAGTGGTAAAAGCGTTCGCACCTCGTGCCGAAAGTCCAGGTTCGATTCTCTGCATATCATAGGCACAATCCCTCGCCGTGATATTGCTGGAATATTGCTAAGGCGGCGTAAAATCCGACTCACTCATAAACTCTCATAAATCACTGTGCCATTGCTAACCAAGGTTCTGCAGATGGCACCGGAGTATGTCAAGATTCAACTCTCGGTTGGTCTTCTTCCATTATATCTCACTAGGTGGCGCTACTGGCCTCGCTAGGTCGTTCATTCATCGACAGGGGTTTATGTCATGGGAAGTTGACCTCAACCGATTCCAGCAGTCCTGCTTTTATCTGATCCATTGACCTAAGTTTGTGGCTCTGTGACAACACGTACAAAAGAAAGTCTTTGTACAGGAGATGCAATGGGCTATTGATGACATATCACAGGCTTTTACGGATTGTGAACCGGCCTCACGATGTCTAATCCGTTGTCCTCGCATAAATATTAACATATCTTCGAGATCTGTCTGAATGAATGGCGTAACAACATTCAAGAAGTACGTTAACGGTTATTTGAAATATTACAATGATTCCACCACAGAAGCCAAATCTTTAAGTTGTTTGATTCTTCGGTAGCATTTTCAATAAATGTTGTTCACGAGAGGTTGCTGAATACATTAATCGAGATTACGCTAAACGCATGAATGACCTATTCCTGCATAGAAATATCTAGATCGGTGACGCTAAGCCGGTGACCCGTACCCAGATCCGGACATACCAGTGGAACATGCACTCACTCACTCACTCACTCAATAAACAATCAATATAACAAGTAAATCAATATAACAAGTAAATCAATATAACAAGTAAATTAATCAATCAAACAACTCAATCAAACAATTTAATCAAACAACTCAATCAGCTAACTCAATCAATCCACCAATCAATTAACTCAAACAATCAATCAAACAAAACAATCAATCGTGCTTGTCTTAATACAAGTAAAATGGAAATCGAGTGACATATGATTGACTCAGTCTAAGTCTTTGTACGCCATTGTATCGTTGCCAGTGGTACCAGTTCCCAGTTTGGGCTAGACGAAGGATTGATAAGGGGCGACAGAGTAACAGTCGGGAGGTGATAGCGTTCGAACCTTGCGTCAACAAACCGGGTTTGATTCCCCGCATTGCAATAATACACGAAACACGTTGTGATATTGCTGAAATATGGCGACGGGCAGCAACAAGTTTTATTCAGTCAACCAAAATACTTATTGACAACGTTTGACTGATGTCACACCGAGACATTTGGGATTTTATGGATACAATGCCAAGGTCGTATCAGTTCAGGTCGTGCCAAAGTTCAAAACAACACCAACTGATTAACTGATATAATAGAAGCCACGCTAATAATGGAAAGAGTTTAATCAGACGTCTCCTTGAGGGAGACTGGTATCACACCTGATCCCTGGCGATAAGAAATATGGCATTGCATGCCAGCAGTTAGACGTATCAGTGTATGATCGTACATTCTCTTCAGCGTAATATATATCTTGTACGTGTGTAAACAGGGTGCGTTTGGTAACTTGAGCAGGAAGTACAAGTGCGCGAAGGGTGTTATTTAAGATGACAAATAAAAGAAGACAGAATGACTGTGACGCAAATTTAGTGACTGGTGGCCGTGTTGGTTTTCATCATTCGCTAACACACACACACGCACGTATGCACGCACGCACACGCACGCACGTATGCACGCACACAATAAAACAGATAAACACAATCACACAAACAAACCCAGACATATACAGACCAACGGACACACACAGAAACAGACTCATATACAGACATACACACGCACACACATACAGACACACACACATAACACAAACACACTCATACACACACAGCAACACACACCGATGCAAACACAAACACATACACACACACACACACACGCACGCACGCACGCACACGCACGCACGCACGCACACACACACTCACACACACTCACGCACGCACGCACGCACGCACGCACACACACACACACTCTTTATGTTTGTTTGCACAAAGCAATTTGAAACGATACATCGAGAGATAATACATTCATTGGGGTAAGTAATGCTTCACTGTATTTGGACAGTGAAGCATTACTTACTGAATATTTTTCTAGGATGTGTCTTTACATTAAAAACAGGAGATAAAACATAAAGAAAGAAATATGACCTGAGGACCTTGAGAGTGAGCCATAATGTATAACCGATCTCGTCACAGCCTGAAAAATTGCAAGGTCTTGGAACCAGGGTCAAGGTCTTCGGTTGCTGAGCTCTGCACTTCTTTGTTGATCCTTTATATGATTCACCGTTGTGAGACAAGATGGTGGCTGAATGAGCTGACTGTAAGTGTGACGTCAAACGCTGATGGCAAGAGTCAGTATCAGCTCTTTCCGACATCACTAATGACAACAACAACAACAACAACAACAACAACTTTACCATTATTTTTGCGTCAGAGTTAAATAAATGTCACGATTCTTCCATCATCGACCAACAGATACCCACGCCCGATGTTTCCGTTATATCACGGTAAACATTTATATGATATACCAGGCATATTCATGTGGTATATACATATACATGTCATCAGAAGTATATGCATGCTAATAAGAGGAAACCGACAAGCCAAGCTTACCCCAACCATTGTGATCACGTCACGCTAATTTTCTTGCAGTTGATTCTGACCCAGGAAATCCATGATCATTCTGAACGTGCATTTCAAACAAGTAAAACTGACGCAGCTATAGGCCAGTACGAAACTTATAGAGAATATGATATCTATCAACCACAACATGGTTTAAGCCAGAGTCATTAGTCGAATCTGACGAATCCGAAAACAGAAATAACTCGTCGCTTCGGGCCTCGTTGATTCTATTTCCGATATCACAGATTCTCATGATTTCTCCATTCCATATGGAATACAGTTAAAGGTCATTAGTTTTTGTCACGAACGCTGCCTTGCAAAAGGACAACAAACCCAGCCATAGCAAGTAACTTTTTGTATACAAACTTACTGTGCAACAATAGTGTCTTATGTTAACTATAACTCGACACCTAAAACGTTTAAACATTTTGCTAACATATTCAAAATTATTGTCAACGATTTTTTCAGAAAACTACAATCGATAGCCTACAGTTCAACTTCGCGGGTTCGAATCCAGCTAGCAATGCACGTTTTTCAATAAATTACAGTAAACTACGGTTTTAACGAACTCAAAGAGACTACTTATTTTAGTTCGTTATAACCGTAGTTCGTTATAAGTTCATATACAGCATGACTACAACAAGTAGTCGGGACCAAAAAGTAAGTTCGTTATATCCGTCAGTTCATTATAAGCGTGTTCGTTATAACCGTAGTTTACTGTACACCATCATAACATACAATGCTAAAGACCACCCGATTCTTTCATATTATTATAGTTAATCTGTCTTGGCATGACAGATTAACTATACCAGAGGCCATATAATAGATTTCAATAATAATAATAATAATAGTTTCAAGCCTTGGGTATAAATATTCCCAAATGGCAGCGGATGAGGGAAAAGGGGTAGACACATTTGACACATTTTTAATTTAATTATTCTAAATTAATAGATAATCTAGTATATGGTCTCTGACTATACTAATATGAAAGAATCGGGTGGTTGTAGAATCTACTTGGTTAGAGCAGTATATGAAATGAGGGAGCACACTTCCGTCTTTACCAAGTCGGTTCATGTCGGAATAATTCCAAAGAAGCCATGGTTTAAATTATGTAAAGCAATCTGTCGTAGATCTAGGTCGAAGTATACATGGCGGTGTGGCGTCATTCGTGTAAGGGTCAAACACCTTAAGACACAAACTTATATTTCCTCTCAAGTTTCGATTTAACTCGAACAAATCGGCTTCCCAACCAAGGACATCTCACATAGGAGAATATATTTATGTCAGGCCTAACTTACCCCAGACGTCACGCCGAGCTGCACAATCAGCTGCCGCTGTGGGCGCGGCGATGTGTTTTTAGTACACGCAATTTGATTGGACAGCTCATGCCCCGCCTACTAGCGCTCGGGTCAAATTGACATCACGGGAACTCGGAGGATATTTACGTATTGGAAATCTTCTCGAGATAAGTACTTGGAGGAGTAAGACTTTCGCCTCTTGTGAACTAAAAGGAACAAAAAATGAGTTGGCAACGAGCAAAGCTACCGACTTTCGTGTTTGTATGTCAAATTGCATTTATTTTAATATTTGCATTTATGGCCAAATATGGCCCGACATCGAAACCCAAAGACACCGATACCAGCAGTTCCCCGGTGAAGAATTACTATGGAAGTGAGTACATTTTTTTCCGATTGTATTGGCCTACTTCCTTTCATGTAGTGTCACATTAGTATACATTTCAGTGGTAGGTCGACGTCACGTAAGTGCATAAATGTCAATCAATCAGTTTGATATGATTGTTATCACTCTTACTTGGATTTATCTCAGTCACAATAAGGTGATATATTCATTTAGATATTCGTAATTATCGTGCCAGGAACGATTGAATGTATATTTCAGTCAAGGTCAGAGACCCAGATTTAACCCATGATCATATTCGTGTTTATGTTACAAATATTTAATCATAACCGCGTTAATACGAAAGGTGCCGTATTGCGAGATAATGTCCGGATAATCAAAACTTTTGATTTAATATTATCACTTTGATCATGTATAGATTTTGGCAAATGTATTATAATGGAAGACTTGAACATACCACTATTTAGAAAGTTATGTGAATAAAAATTATCCAAAAATCTTTTTTACAATAGGGTTGTTTTGAATACGACTTTGAAATCTCACTTATTGCTTCTGGCTGAAAAGGGTTAGCTTGATATAAATATTACCAAATGGCAGTGGATGAGGGAAAAGGGGTAGACACATTTGACACATTTTTAATTTAATTATTCTAAATTAATTATTATTATTTTTTTAATTCTAAAATTATTTTGATAATCATGTTCGAGGACATTGCACTGTTGCTGGTAGTGAGTGAGTGAGTAAGGTTTTACGCCGCTTTTAGCAATATTCCAGCAATATCACAGCGGGGGACACCAGAAATGGGCTTCACACATTTGTACCCATGTCGGGAATCGAACCCAGGTCTTCTGCGTGATGAGCAGACGCTTTAACCACTAGGCTACCCGACAGCCCCTATGTTGCTAGTAACTACTGAATAAATGCGTATTGCTTTTCACCGCATTGTTTCCAGTAATATCGCGGCGGGGTACAAAAGAAATGGATTTCACGCATTTTACCCAATTGGGAAATCGAACCCGGGCCTTTGGCTTTAACCACTACTCTCTAAGCTGAAAACAAATTCAATTCATTGGCTACAGGTCAACAGCATATGTTCTTATCTCCTGTCAAGATTAGCATAATATCCTACGAACATGCATCGGATCAGGATACGCTAAACATTGCAACCATTTCAAGCAATTCCGACACGATGAGACGTGTGAGATATGTTGCCTAGATGATACGTGTGTGATATGTTGAGCACATGTGTTCTGTGTGACACACACACACACACACACACACACACACACACACACACACACACACACACACACACATATGTGGAAAAGATGAGACGTGTGTGATGAATGTTGACAAGATGAGACATGTGTGAGATATGTGGAAAAGATGAGACGTGTGTGAGATATGTTGAAGAGATGAGACGTGTGTGATGCATGTTGACAAGATGAGACTTGTGTAAGATATGTGGAAAAGATGAGACGTGTGTGAGATATGTTGAAGAGATGAGACGTGTATGAGATACGTGGAATAGATGAGATGTGTGCCAGGTTATGTTGAAGAGATGAGACGTGTGTAAGGCATATTGAAGACATGAGACATGTGTGAGGTATGCTGAAGACATGAGAGATATGTGAGATATGCTGAAGACCTGATACGTGTGTGAGATATGTGGAAGAGATGAGACGTGTGTGAGATATGTGGAAGAGATGAGACGTGTGTAAGGTATATTGAAGACATGAGACGTGTGTGAGATTTGCAGAAGACGTGTGTGAGATATGTCGAAGACATGAGACGTGTGTGAGATATGTTGAAGAGATTAGACTCGTTTGAGATATGTGGAAGACATGAGACATGTGTGAGATATGTTGAAGACATGAGACGTATGTGAGGTATGTTGAAGAGATGAGACATGTGTGTGAAATGTTTAAGAGATGAGACGCTTGTGAGATATATATAGAATACTAAACGAGCTCCCGTGTAATACCAATTTTATGACAAGAGTGAATAGTTCTGGAATTTGACGAGCGAAAGCGAGTCAGACAACAGAACTATTCACGAGTAGTTATTCACATAAGATTGGTATAATTACAGGGAGCGAGTTTTGTATTTCATTCATTACTTGCCATTTGTAATTTTTTTTTATAGAATTTCACTGTCGTGTATGAGCAGGCAGACACGGATAATTGATAATTGAGTTTAACAGAATAATACTTCAAACACGTCAAACGTAGACACATATCAATTTACTACCACACCACGGCCCACCTTTAGAATGCAAGCGTCCGTTCCACAAAGTTATCGTAGCGATAAGGTTATCGTTACTCACATACTTTAACAGAAACTTGCGACGACTGTCTTTGCACTACAATACGATCGCCTTGTGGAACGGGACCTGCACGACAAAGTTTACAATCACGTCACAATATTCTATGACGTCATTTGTAGAATATTGTTGCAAGATCCAACGGCGAAACAATGCCATGTGACGTCAGCCAAGCAACTGGGACATTGAGTGTGCATAAGCTCCTCTCAGCGATCTATCATCTCCTCACACAATGACGTTGAATAAGCCAAGGGATGCTGAGAGCTTTCAATGTTTGTTCGTCTTACTTGTTCCCGCAGTACATAAGCATGCGTTTTGGTATTACACAATGTGTAATACAGCTGAATGGTTATTAAACAGGTGATCTCTTCACGGGCAAGTAATAAATTCAAGAGATGAGACATGTGTGGGATATTTGGAAGAGATGATACGTGTGTGACGTATGCTGAAGACATGAGACGTGTGTGAGGTAAGCTGAAGACATAAGACATGTGTGAGGTATGCTGAAGACATGAGACGTGTGTGAGGTAAGCTGAAGACATGAGACATGTGTGACGTAAGCTGAAGACATGAGACGTGTGTGAGGTATGCTGAAGACATAAGACGTGTGTGAGGTATGCTGAAGACATGAGATGTTTGTGAGGTATGCTGAAGACATGAGACGTGTGTGAGGTATGCTGAAGACATGAGATGTTTGTGAGGTATGCTGAAGACATGAGACGTGTGTGAGGTATGCTGAAGACATGAGACGTGTGTGAGGTATGCTGAAGACATGAGACGTGTGTGAGGTTTGCTGAAGACATGAGATGTGTGTGAGGTATGCTGAAGACATAAGACATGTGTGAGGTATGCTGAAGACATGAGACGTGTGTGACGTATGCTGAAGACATGAGACGTGTGTGAGGTATGCTGAAGACATGAGACGTGTGTGACGTATGCTGAAGACATGAGACGTGTGTGAGGTATGCTGAAGACATGAGACGTGTGTGAGGTATGCTGAAGACATGAGACGTGTGTGACGTATGCTGAAGACATGAGACGTGTGTGAGGTATGCTGAAGACATGAGACGTGTGTGAGGTATGCTGAAGACATGAGACATGTGTGAGGTATGCTAAAGACATAAGACGTGTGTAAGGTATGCTGAAGACATGAGACGTGTGTGAGGTATACTGAAGACATGAGACGTGTGTGAGGTATGCTGAAGACATGAGACGTGTGTGAGGTATGCTGAAGACATGAGACGTGTGTGAGGTATGCTGAAGACATGAGACGTGTGTAAGGTATGCTGAAGACATGAGACGTGTGTACGGTATGCTGAAGACATGAGACGTGTGTGAGGTATGCTGAAGCCATGATACGTGTGTGACGTATGCTGAAGAAATGAGACGTGTGTGAGGTAGGCTGAAGACATGAGACGTGTGTGAGGTATGCTGAAGACATGAGAAGTGTGTGACGTATGCTGAAGACATGAGACGTGTGTGACGTAAGCTGAAGACATGAGACGTGTGTGACGTATGCTGAAGACATGAGACGTGTGTAAGGTAGGCTGAAGACATGACACGTGTGTAAGGTATGCTAAAGACACGAGACGTGTGTGAGTTATGCTGAAGACATGAGACGTGTGTGAGGTATGCTGAAGGCATGAGACGTGTGTGAGGTATGCTGAAGATATGAGACGTGAGTAAGGTATACTGAAGACATGAGACGTGTGTAAGGTATGCTGAAGACATGAGACGTGTGTAAGGTATGCTGAAGGCATGAGACGTGTGTGAGGTATGCTGAAGATATGAGACGTGAGTAAGGTATACTGAAGACATGAGACGTGTGTAAGGTATGCTGAAGACATGAGACGTGTGTAAGGTATGCTGAAGGCATGAGACGTGTGTGAGGTATGCTGAAGATATGAGACGTGAGTAAGGTATACTGAAGACATGAGACGTGTGTAAGGTATGCTGAAGACATGAGATGTGTGTGAGGTATGCTGAAGACATGAGACATGTGTGAGGTATGCTGAAGTTATGAGACGCGTGTGACCTATGCTGAAGACATGAGACGTATTTGGGGTATGCTGAAGACATGAGACGTGTGTAAGGTATGCTGAAGACATGAGACGTGTGTGAGGTATGTTGAAGACATGAGACGTGTGTGAGGTATGCTGAAGACATGAGACATGTGTGAGGTATGCTGAAGACATGAGACGTGTGTGACGTATGCTGAAGACTTGAGACGTGTGTGAGGTATGCTGAAGACATGAGACGTGTGTAAGGTATGGTGAAGACATTAGACGTGTTTGAGGTATGCTGAAGACATGAGACGTGTGTGAGGTATGCTGAAGACATGAAACGTGTGTAAGGTATGCTGAAGACATGAGACGTGTGTGAGGTATGCTGAAGACATGAGACGTGTTTGACCTATGCTGAAGACATGAGACGTGTGTAAGGTATGGTGAAGACATGAGACGTGTGTGAGGTATGCTGAAGACATGAGACGTGTGTGAGGTATGCTGAAGACATGAGACATGTGTGACTTATGCTGAAGACATGAGACGTGTGTGAGGTATGCTGAAGACATGAGACGTGTGTAAGGTATGCTGAAGACATGAGACGTGTGTGAGGTATGCTGAAGACATGAGACGTGTGTGACCTATGCTGAAGACATGAGACGTGTGTGAGGTATGCTGAAGACATGAGACGTGTGTGAGGTATGCTG